CCAATAAGCCGCGTGGTGGGTGGCCGGCCCGGGGCAAAGCGTCGGAAAGAGCTGTTCTGTGTCAGGCTTTTTCTTCGGGCACTATCCGGCTCTGCGGGGGTAGGAAGTCCTCTTCTGGACTCGAAATTGCAACAGATTCTCTGATAACGTTCTGCCCTTGAAGACCTGCAAGTGCTTTCCTCTGGGCCCTCGGTTTGCCCCAGGACGACACGCCCGCCCACCTGCCACTGGTGTGTCTACCCTGCCTCTGAGCCCTCGGCTGGCTGGGCTGCTGTGCCAGGCGGCAGCTGTCCTGCAGGCCTTGCCGGCAGAAGGAAGCATTTCCACAGGGCCCCGGGCGCTGTGCTTTCCTGAGCCTTGAGTAAGCACAGGTGGAGGGCGGGGATAGGCTGCACCTGGTCATGGTTTTTGGGGGCAGGGGTGCTGGTGGCTTGGCAAGAGGTTTTCATTGATGACTTCACTCAGTGCAGAAAGGGTCGCTTTGGGTCTCCTGGATTGCCACTCGTTGGCCTGACATTAAAGGCCAAAGGTTGTCTAAGAGCCACCTGAGCTGCGGGGAGGCACAGGTAGACTGTTAGGTTAGCCGCGTGCTCAGGAGGCATGGGCCTCGTGGCTGTGATGCTGCCATTTCCGTGTTTCCCCAGCTTCCAATTCCTAGCCAGGAGTCTGTTTGCCTTTCTAGGGCCAATAGAGGCAGTCCAAGGTGGTTTTTGTTATTTTGATGTATGTTTGCTCTGGAGTCGGCAGGGACTTCTAGGCAAATGCAGAAAAAATAAAACACCCCTTTATTTGGCAGATGTAGCTTGTTTCCTCCACTGGAGAGCGGGGTTTCCATCTTCCCTCTCTGTCCCTGGCACGTAGCAGCTGCTTGTAAAACATTTGCTTCACTGTCTTGGAGACCAGCTTGCAAGGTCTGTTCATTTTAGGGGATCCATTCTGGGAGAAACCACCCCAGATAAGAAGAGATGAAGAAATCTCACAAAGGTTTAACAGTTCTCTCTGGCCTGTGGTATGACCCTCATGTGCACTTCCTTTCATGCTGGAGGTCGGCCTTCATCTAATCTTCTCAGCCCTCAGATAAAGCCTTTACCCGAAGTGCTTATCGGATGGCAAGTGCTCTGTTTAAAGCCTGTCTCTCCCCGTGGACAGGGCGAGGGCCATGTCACATTCATCTTTGGTCCCCTATTGTCTGGCATGGAATGGGCCGGGGGGCGGGGGGGGGGGTCTCTCTGAAAGGCTGTGAAATGAACCGAGATGCTAAAACTAGTTTTCGTGTGGGTTAAGGGTGACCTTCGGGGAAATGCAGACGCCATCTAGGCAGGCTTCTCATAACAGTCATAAAATTCACCCCCCTGAATCCGCAAGTTCCTGTGCAGGTGGGCCTCGTGGGCTTACACTGACCACTGCTGCCAGGACTGTCTGGCAGGTCGAGTGACCTTGGGCACACCGTGTTGCTCCTAATTCTCGTTACCATTTGAGCTAGCCTCAGAAGACGGATTTAAGTGTTTGCTTTGAGATGGTTTCTGCTTTAAAGTACATAAGAACAATGAAGCAGGTTATAAAAAAGCACTTAACATTCACCCTGTTCAATGTTTTACCTGCTGAGGCATACCTTTCCTGTTATGACAACTCCGCTTGTGGAAGAAAGAAGCCCTTTCCGATTCAAAGCAGCAGCTTCAGTGGCTGTTTCAAGTGTCACTTTGCAAATGGAGATAATATCAAAGGAAACAAACAGACCAAAAAAAAAAAAAAAAAAAAAAAAAAAAAAAAAAAAAAAAAAAAAAAAAACCACCCAGGGCATTTTATGAAGAATCCACTTGAATTTCTTTACTTGGTAACTTTCATTAAGCTTTCAGCACAGGTTTACCGAAGTCGTACTTCACCTGAGGAGGCCGTGTGCCCATATTCTGTGGCTACACGTTTGGGTGGCCAGCGCGCCGCCAGAGGTGGACTGGGGTTTGCGATGGAAAGAGAGGGGTAGCCTTCTGCTGGCCTTTGGTAGGGACTCTGGAGAAGGACGTGAGCTACGTTTTGGAGAACGAGGAGATGATGGAGATGATGGATGTGGCAAGGCCACATGAGGGAAAGGGCCTTCCGGGCGAGGGGGCAGCGTATGCCTGCCTGAAGTCACAAGGGCACAGCTACTTCGCAACCTGCTGTTGCAAGAAGGGTGGTGGGGACTCCAGTAGGTGGAGCGAAGAGAGGAAGGTGAGGCCAGAGAAAGCGAGGCTGGTGGCAGGTCGGAAGAGGCCTTGAGTTCCAGGCCCAAGTGTGAATTTTACCCTGAGAGCAGTGGGAAGCCACCAGGATATCTTGGGGTTGTGTGTGACTGATCAGATTGTGTCCTCCAGGGGTGAACGGGCGTCGATGGCCATGGTGGGTTGGCGACGGGTGGCACGGAGTTGGAAGCTGCCCACCTATTGAAACGTAGGCCCAGCACAGAGGAAGAGTGGTGGGGGACAGAAAGGAGAGCGGGCCCCTGGGACAAGTGGCTTCAGGGCTGGGGAGGGTCAGGGAGAAAGGAGGTGTAGGGAACACTCCCAAGATTGGGTGACAGCATTTGCCATTGCCATGACACAGGCAGAGGGTGCCGGAAGGAGGCTGGCTTGGGGGCAGGCAATGACATTGAGTTTGCAGATGCTGAACTTCCCAGTAAGTAAGGCTTCCCGGTGGCAGGTGGGTATATGTGGATCTAGAACCAGGGAGAACGTCCTGGGCTCGACCGCGTTTTGGGGACTCCTTCCGATGGTGCTGAAGCCACGTGGACTGGGGTGGGCCTCACCAGGAGAGTGTGTGGAGTAAGCAAGAGAAGAAGGAAGTCTGGAGACAGCTGGTGTTTTCTCCTACAGCAGCGGGGAGGTGACAATGGAAGTCTAATCAATAACCGCTTGCCTTTTGGGGCCTGGGGGCAGGATAGCAGGCTTTTTATTTGTCACAGAGCCCCA